GTGCCTTGGCAGTCTCAGACATCAACATAATTTGACATGGAGGAAAAGCAAGTTTTGTAAAGATGTAAGTTCTAATTAGAATAATTCAAAACTTACTAAAAAATCCCATGAAAACTCCAATCTGATTTTTTTAACTTGAACAAAATATTTTGGAATTCTTCAGGAATAATAAAGTCCTAATATTAGACAAGAAAATTTGGGATGGAAGAAAAGAATAAAAAAAAATCAGACTGCCAATTATTAAATAAATTTTTACAATATGTAAGATATGGTGCTGGAGTAAGTAAGGCAGATTGACAGAAGGGAACCATGAGCTCAAAAGGAGACTCTAGTGTACATAAGTATTTTGTACAGGTGGGATTTCAAATCAAAAAGAAAAGTATGACTTCAATAATTGTCCTGGTACAATCAGAGAATCCCCTGGAAAGGACAAATTCTATTCCTGTCATAAGGACCACAAGATAAATTACAGACAGTGATGTAAATATTAAAAAGTACTAATAACAGCAAATACAACACTTTGCTCTTATTAACTCAACTTACCCTTACATTAACAAGTACTATTATCATCTCCATCTTAGAGATTTAAAAATACTTATGGAAGAGATTTATTCCATTATAAGAAAGTATTTCTAAGAATAATGTCAAAGATAAAACCCATAAGGAAGTCACTTACTATCATAAGAATATTTTGAGACACAACCAAAATAAAAAAACTCCTGAACAAAATGAAAGGCAAGAAATGACAAGAAAAAGCTCTGTGATACATGTTGAAGACAAGATGTTAATGTTCATAACATACAAAGAGCTGTGACAAAGTAACAAGAAGCTCCCTCACTTAAATGTGTGCAAAGATAAAAGGAATCATTCATTTTAAAAAAGTCAAATGGCTAATGAGAGAAAAATGCTAAATATCTCACTCGTCATCAAATGCAAACTAAAACAATGAAAAAGCACTTTTGCTCATCATATTGGCAAATATTTTTAATAGATATTCTAGCTAGTGTCCATCTGTGGGAGAACAAACCATGAGCAACATTTTTGGAGGAAGACATGTCAATGGATATGTAAACTCTGATAAACGTACGTACACACTGACTCAACACCACTTCTAGGAATCGTTTCCTTTAGGAAAAAAAAAGATTCAGTCCAAAAGGATGTACCCATCAGGGCATTTACACAGCACTGTTTAGAATGGTGGGAAGAAAAACAGAAGTGAAATCATATCCAGCGATAGAGAATTGGTTACATAAGTAATTGTGCATCTTTTCATTCCCCAATGGAGAAGGAATTTCTAGAGTCACTTGAAAGGAGCCCGTGATGAATGTAAATGTCACATCCAGGGACTAAATTTCCAGAAGCCTTAACTAAAAGAATACTCATACAAGATCACAGGAATGTCTATACAAGAAGGATGCCAGTCAAACATCCTTTCTGACAGTGGAAAATGGAGAAAACTTAACTGTCCACCATCAAGACAATGATGCGGTAAATCACAGCGAGCTGCGAGCACTGAGGGAGCCGGCGTTTCGCCATGGTCCAGGGCCTTGTCCACAGCATTCTCCCACCAAAGGTGTCCGTGGACAAGAGACCACACCTGCATATCAGGAGACCCCTCCACTCTATCTGAAAGGACCGGGTGAGTCTGGAGTGGGAGGACGTCTATGATATACACCTGAGTGAATAAAGCGAGCTGCAGAAAAACATATAATATGGTCTCATTTTTAAATAAAGCATATATACACACACGTATACATGGAATTCTCATATGTGTGTATATATGTATGCCATAGGCGTTAAGGTCATGAAATGTATATACCACATTGTCAACAGCTTTAACTCTCAGGAAATAAGGGGAAGGGCGGCAGGGGCCTTCCTGTACCACCACAGTTCTCTTTTCAGTATTTCAGTTAAGTATACTTGGAATTTAAAAGTTTATTTAAGTCTGTAGTAAAGCGGACGATGCCTCCACAAGACAGAATGCTATACTGGTCATCAAAAATCATGCCAGGGGAGATAGAATATTGTAGAAAAACATATAATAAGCCGAATGGAAACTGGAGGTGTCCACACAGAAAACAGGCACAGAGTGCTCTCTGGTTTTTTATGACAGAGGTGATACACGCTGACGAAAAGAACAGAAAAAAGAAGTTAGCGTGTTAATTATTATCTTTGAATAGCGGGACAAGGATAGCATCTTTTGTTCCCTTTTTCAGACTTATTATTTTAAATGCACATTCTTCTTCATCTGAAAAAAGCATTTTTAGGTGTATAGTTATCACGCATTGGAGAATAATACAAGAATACTTAGAGAAACAAGTAACTAGGAGACAAGGCAGCAGCATCACACAATGTAGGACGGGCGATCCTGATTAACACCACGCAGTTACATAAGGACCCACAAAGTGAGAGCACCTGCTGTAACAGGGCGCGGCCCCCTTCTATTTGTCAGCAGTGTCTTCAGGGCTGAGGCAGTTCTGAGCACGGCCAGTGTCAGTGATGGTGTCTGGATGGATGCTACTGGGGGTGAGGGCACCTGCAAGCCGAGAGGAAGAACAGAAATCATCCTCTGCTTTTTCTGTCTTGTTTCTTTCTTACTTTAAAAGAGAGGCATATATAAGATAAACTGTGTATCTTTCCAAATGAAATTACAGTAATGAAACCGTTTTAAAAGTCTTCACAGCTTATATTCTGCCTATAACTGTCTTTTCAACAAAGATCATATTTATTAAATGTTAATTAACTCAGTTAATTAACTCCCTGTTGAAACATTCTAGTAAAGAACGTGAAATGCCGTATGTAAAAGAACCACACCTGCCGTGACTAGCTCAGCTGTCTTGACGGCAGTGCAGTCAGCCTACACCATCCCGTGGCCCTGAGCTCCTGATGCTGGTAAGAGAGCACGCTGCCGCCTCAGATGGAGAGAAACTGTGAAAGCATTTTTTGAACTCTACAGCACTGACAAAACATAACTGACAAATCCCAGGCCCCTTTGAGGCTGTCATTTTCTGTTTCTGGCCAACCCCCGTCAATGAGCAGAACCACCCCATTCCTGAGCCATGGGACTCACTTGGGGAGTAATTTTGGAGAAACTTCCAGGTATAGAATGTAACCAACTATACGTAGAACTCTCACAAAAGAAAAGATGCAATACTCCGATTTTGAAAGACACTCAAAATATTCTTCTAAGCCTAAGTAGCTCAGCCACTTATTTATTTCACAGCCAGTGAGCATCTCCCACAAACCCTGTCTCCCTGTGTCTGCTGGGAGCCTCAGGCACACTCTTGCTGTCCATCTTGTAAGTCATAGGGAAGAGGCATCTGTCTCACGCATACAACCCTCATACAGGCTCGCCTCCAAGCCTCACTGTATGAAGTTGGCCCCATTTTCTCACCTGTTTATTTGAGAGCTGTTCTTCTGTAAGCTGCCTGAAATGCGTTTTGGAATATGTCAGAAGAATGAGTGGGTAGATAAATGGACAGATTGAGAGGTGAGAGATGGACAGACAGAGAGACTCCAAGAAAAGGGGAACAAATAAAATTTCCTATGCAAAACCCTCTTCTAGTCAGGGAAGGAAATCACCATGGAGAAGTGTGAAGAGGCAGGTAGCTTAGGACTGTTTCCTGGATTCCATGAAAAGTCACACCAAGAGATGAGAGGGTAGAATTTTAAATAGTAAAAGAAAAAAAGCACGCATGCTTGAAAAATATATCTACAATATGCACTTTCTAAGAAAAGATTCAAAAAGCAGGGCCCAATAACACAATCCTTGGGTATTTACAGAAGTGAGAATCCCATCTCCAACCACAAGGCATCCCTTCAGAGCACTGAGAGTCTTCACGAGGCGGTCATAAAGCCGTCACCGCACAAGCTATGCCATCCTGCACTTATGAGGAATGAGCAGCTGTGCTCGGGCTGCCCACGCGAGTCACTTACACCCCTCAGCACCTCTATGGGGGGGACGCCTGGTGAGCCCTGTCTCTGCAGAACAGAAAACCAGTCCTGGAGGGGCTAAGCCGACCTACCAGTTCTCCATCTCACAGGACTGGTCTCTCCAGAGCAGGACTCGAACTCGGACCCACGTTTGTAACCACGGTACTACCGTGATTTGTGTGCTGTTTGTGCGTATAATACATTTGTTTCTATCATAAAAGGATATTTAATAAATGATTGGTTGTCTTGTCTATCTCATTAGCTCACAATCAATCTTTATACTGTTGAATTGTACTCTTTTCCCCTGGAGAAAGGAACGGAAAGACGGGGGTCAGAATGAGGTGGGACTCCATTCTTTATCTGTTACCACATCTCATTCAAGTCCCCAGCCAGGGAGAAGGAGCAAATGTTCTCTTCATCTTTTAAAGAGAGGGCTCCAGTGATGGTGACTTACTCAACTCCAAAACCAAGGCTGGGGGAAGGGCACATGCAGCAACTAGAGCAGTATCAGCTGTAGGAAGGTGAAAAGAGCTCACGGGAGGGCTCAGGGGGTCAGCCTGATTTTATTTTAATCGGTAAAACAATAACACACTCTAAAAATAGTAGCATACAATGGATTTGCTGTTTCTTGACATCTGGCAAGTTTCCACAGCCCACATGTAACATTATCATGAACCAGTGAAAGGAAGAGTCCACAGACAGGGACAATCAATGCCACAGGCAGGCTGAAACCCAGGCTGGAGTTTAGGAAGAGAAAGAGTATAGTTAAAAAGTGGGGAAAGGCTGGGAAAAAAAATCATCACAATTACCCTCAAGAATCATTCAACAATCATATAATCATTCATTCAAGAGAGAGTTACTGAGGTCCTATTCTGTGCAAGATTGTACAGCGGGCAAAGCAAGAACGCAGCATCCATGGTGGCAGCAAGTTGCGGGGCTCAAATACATTTCTGATCCCGGTACCTCGCACACTTGTCCTAAGTACAAAGGCAAAGAAAAAAAAGTAAAATAATACTCTGTAAACTCAAAGCATTGTTGAAAAAACAAGTTAAAGAAGACCTAAATACCAGGACAGACACTCCACGCACATTCCTCTATCAAAAGACAGCGCCCTTGAAAAGGGATTGCTCCCCAGAGCGATCCATTTACTCAACGTGGTATGGTTCACAATCCCAGCGGGCTCCTCTGCAGTAACTGACTAGCTGCTGCTACAATTCATATGGGAATTGGAGGGTCTCAGTAACCAAAACGTACTTGAAAAAGAAGAACAACTTGAGAGGACTTGTAATTTTTAATTTCAAATCTTACAACTGTATCTCCAGGTGAGATTAGAGGCCATTGTGAAGTTATGACTGTGTTTATCCTTATTTTCTAAATTCTCTACAATGAATATAACTGTTACAATAAGAAAAATAAAAAGTAAGTTATCCTTTAAAACATGCACACCGATTCATTCATTGGGAAAAAATTATTTTATCAATAAAGAGATAAACAAATACCTAGTGAAAAAGGGCTACTTAAAAACAAGAGTGCATTTACATTTTTCATAAATTGAAAACTGAAAAGCACAAAGACGTCAAGTTTCTAGGGAGACCAATGCAACATATTAATATTTATTTTCAGAAATTCTAATTTAAAAATGAAAACTCAGGAAAGGGAAAATCGTGATTGACAGCCAACTGCAAACACATGGAGAGCAAAGGCCTAGAAATCACAGTTCCTTTAACTCTGCTACTAACTCAATAGGAGAGGAAATTCCTCACTGAAGGGAGAATGGAATCCCATGCATAAGACAGGATACAAAGTACAAACTGCACTAAAATCAGGGGAGATTTTCATAGAAGAATTCTAAAGTTACAAAATTGCTGAAAAGCTATTAAAACACTGACAGAAAGATTAAAATGCACAGTCATAT